CCGGGTCCTATTGTGGGGAGGCGGGAGGGGGGAGGGATAGCATTAGGAGACATACCTAATGTAAATGACGAGTTAATGGGTGCCGCACACCAACATGGCTCATGTATACATATGTAACAAACCTGCACATTGTGCACATGTACCCTAGAACTTAAAGTATAATAAAAAAAAAAAGAAAACATTACATAGTAGAAAAAAGTCCAAATCTATTAGTAATTTCAATATAAATATATTTGTCTCACTCTCAATGAATCTGCATTTTTTGCATAAGATATAATAATCACTGAGTACAGAAAGCAGTCAGATACACATTTGTCTCAAGTGAGCCAAGCCACTTTTAATTCAGTCCTTTGTCCCGTGCCTGTGAAGACAAGATGTTAATTTACACTGTCAGGGTAAAATTGAAGGGAACTAAAGGGCCTTCCTTGTGAGCAAATTGCAAGGGAGGTACGTAGCCTTTTATCTTGTAGTTGTCTATTTAGGAACAAAGGGAGGCAGGTTTGCTTCACCTAGTTCCCAGCTTGACTTTTCCCTTTGGCTTAGTGGGTTTGGGTTCCAGGGACTTTATGTTCCTTTTACAACACATATTGCCCCAGATGGTCTTCCTCACAAATTTTTCACAAGGAAATTCCTTGTGAGCCACTAAATCTTTCAGGATACATATCCCCCTATAAACTAGTCTTAAAACTGAGTTCTGTTGACTCTTATCTGACAATGTCAATTACCAGCTTAATGTCACAGGTACGGGACAATGACAAGACCAGAAATCATCCTTCTGCCTACCCTGAGATTGATGCAGAATTGACTTTTCCCTCTATGCCCTCTTTTCACATGTGAAATGTAGATTTGTGAATGCTCATCAGAACCTCACAACATTTACATCATTGCCTACCCCCACTTCCTGTTTTCTCTCTGGCTCAGACTTTCTCCTTTAAATACTGAAGTTCCCAAAACCCTCTTTGGAAAAATCTCAGATCACAGATGCTCCCATGACTTGTGTTTTTCCCGGAAGTGTCCTCAACCTTGGCTAAATTAACCTCTATCCATTGAGACCTGCCTCAGTGACTTTTTGGTTAACATCTTGTTATCAGTCGGTAGAGAATAAGCATTCTTTTCAAACACACATGGGCTTTACACAAATTGGCTAACCATGAAGCTATGAAAGTCTCAATGAATACCAAAGAATTTATTTGAGACTCTCTGATCAAAATGTTAAAAAAAGTTAATAACAAAAGCCACAAATTTGGAAAATTTTAAACCTGAGAATTATAAAATATGTAAGACTAAATGACAATAAAAATTTTCTTATTTAAAACCTGCAAGGTACAACAAAAGAGATGTGTTGAGAAAATTTTATAGCCTTAAATGCGTAGATTAGGAGAGAGTAAATGTTAAAAATCCATGTACTTTAAAAAATTTTACTTGTTAAAGGTTAGAGAAAATAATAAACTCAAACCGGTAGAAGGAATAAGACTGGACCTTATTGCAATGGAGAACAAATAAGCAATGTAGACAACCATTAACCTAACTAAAAGCTAGTTATCCTTAAAATTAATGAAATAAGTAAACCTCTGAACTTACTGAACAAGGGCCAAATAAACAATATTCTGAAAGAAAAGAGGGACATAATGACCGAGGTAGCAGAGATCTTATAATCATGAGAGAAATCTGTGAACCACTTTATGCCAACACACTTGAAAACCTTAACAAAAATGGACCATTTTTTAGGTTTCATAATTAAAACAGTATAAATAATACCATCCTTTTAATTTAAAAATATGGGGACAGGGCAAGGAGAGAGAGGGAACAAGGGGGTGGGGGAGAGAAAGAAAGGTAATTCTCGTGATCTTCCTTCTTGCTTACCTGTGTCCTGATTCATTTACTCCCATGCCTTGTGAGTCAGACAAGGGTGACTCCTACATATGCAGCCATTTTTTACCAGTTAGGTCACAGCTTTGGATAATTTTCCTCTAATCAGCCATGAAGGGCCCTGGAACAAGAGAAGAGAGGGGACGGGACATATGGGGAACCTGGATAGGCAGAGATGGCACAGCAACATGTCCAGTGACAGGGCCTCGGAAGGAATCCCAAAGGTAGTGGCTGAGGACTTTAACTGCAGCATGCCCACATGAAATGGTTTTCTGTTCTGCCTGGAGCTGAGTTTCTCTTCCATCACCTTCCACTACCTTAAGCCATTGGTAATAAATGTCCGTCACCCACCACACCTGACAGCCTGCTGCTTCAGTGAACTGAAAAGAAGGGATTTGTCCATGCTTGAGGAAAGTTGGGGTGGAGAAAGGCTACCTAGTCACATAGACCATGACTCAAACAATCTATTCAGTAAAAGGTTAGCATTAATGTTGAAAATAATCTTCATTAGTGAATAAATATTTTATGCCTTAAAAAGTCTTGTCTAACATTTAAAAAGTCAGAACAGGAGGAGGAGATAGCTTGCAAAGGAATTGGAAAAGGGCTGAGGAAAACAAGAGTAACACGAGGAAGGGAAGAGAGTATTTCAAGAATGGAAGAATAATCAGGTAAGACAAGGCCTAGAAAGTCCCCTTGGATCTTTCAACATGAAGGTCAGTGGGGGATCTCCAGCAGAGCTTTTGTTTTATTTAAGAAAAAGAACAAAAGGTCCACTGGAGTGGACCCAGGAGTGATGGGAATAAAGAACATATGCTGACTACCAGGGATGGTTCTTTCAGGAATTTTAACTAGAAGAGGTTAGGACTATTAGAGAGTGGTAACTAGATGAGGATATAGTGTTGAGGAAAGTTTGTACTTACTGTTTTCCTTTTTTTAAAAAAAAAAAAAAAAAAAACTCTTGGTTTGCTTCTGAGTTTCCTGAGGCTGCTGTAACAAATTACCACCAACAGGTGGCTTAAAACAAGAATGTATCGTCTCCCTCTTCCGGAGGTCAAAAGTCTACAATCAAGGCGTTGGCAGGGCCACACTCCCTCCCAAGTCTCTGGGGGAGAATCTGCCATGCCTCTTTCCTAGCTTTTGGTGGCTTCTGGCAAACCTTGGTGTTACTGGGATTGTAGCCACAGCACTCCAATCTCTGCCTTTGTCTTCATATTCCCTGTATGTCTCTTAAAGGACACTTGTCATTGGATTTAGAGCTCACTCAGAAAATGCAAGATAACTACATCTCAATATTCTTAATTTATAAGAAGACCTCTTCTCCAAATAAAGTAAAAGCTACAGTTTCCAGGGATTTAGGGCATGGACATATCATTTGAGAGGGCCAACCTTCAACCTATACAGGGGCTAATTGACTATGTACATAAACTGATGGGGTGGTCTAGGCCTTCTCAAGCAAGACATAAAGCCCAATGTCCATGAAAGAAAAGCCTGACAGATTTAACTACAGAAAAATTAAGCATTTCTAAACAAGAATAAACACCATAAACATAAAAAGACAAGGGCAGAACAGGAGAAAATATTTGCCACATACATCATAAATATATCCAGTATTAACTGCATAATCACAACTGGGTACAGAAAAATAGTAATAGTGTAAAGAGTAGTAAATAGTCATAGTAAAAATAAAAATAGTAGTAAAGATAAAAAGTTAAAAAAAGTAATAAAGTAAAATAGTATAAAACAATAGTAGCAGTAAATAGTAGTAAAATACTTTCAAGTATTATCGTAGTAAAATGCTGCAGTAAAATATAGATGCTCCTTGATTTACAGTGGGATTGCATCCTAGTAAACCTATCATAAGTTGAAACTATCATAAGTTGAAAATGCTAACCTACTGAACATCACAGCTTAGCCCAGCCAACTTAAACATGCCCAGAACACTTACATTAGCCTGCAGCTGGGCAAAGTCATCTGACAGCATAGTAAAACATAGTACACCGTAGATTATATCCCTCATGACCTCACGGCTGACTGGGAGCTATGGCTCACTGCTGCTATGCTCAGCATCATGATAGAGCATTGTATCACTTTCTGGTGCTTTTTAATGAATCCATATAGTTTCTGCATCATCAGAAAGCTGAAAAATCATAAGTTAAACCATTATAAGTGGGGGGCTCTGTTTTACTATTACGATAGTGTGCAACAGTAGGAAAATAGTAAAAGTAGTAGCGTAGTAATATAGTAGTACTAAAATAGTAAAAATTATAGTCTAGTAACATAGTATAGTAATAGTAAAATAGTAGTAAAAATAATAATTTTTCTACTGTTCTTTGAGGGCCCCCATTTTCGTAGCAGGAAAAACAACTCAAACCTGGTGATTCAGAGTAATTATTTTTTCATTTTTTTCCCCAGGTTACTCAACCTGTTTGCAGTGTATTTTTCTTCTCACTGAGCACAGAGAGGAGTGTATGCACTGTCATGTTTTGCATTAATGTGGTTGGCTGTGTGCCCAGTGATCAGGAGTTTTTTAGAAGAACAGAATTGTTCTTTTTCCAACTCTGAATCACAAGTGCCTCGATCTGCCCATCACCCATAGAATCCTTATTGGCTCATATAGATTTGAAAGCTTTTAAAATCCTTGGGTACTTCAGTTTCCAGGGATGTTAAATAAAGCCAGGACTGCGTTTATCATGTGCCCAGCTGGGCTGTGTGAGGATTAATGTTTTATCATAAGTGATCTCCTGTTCCTTTAAAAAGGCATTAATTAAGTTAAAGGTTTTATTTTTCAAGGATGTGCTTATTAGTTTTTTAATAACTTGTATCTCAATGTAGTCTCTGAAATGTAAGTAATAAGGTTTTCATGCTTTCTCATAGAAAATCTGATGTACAGGAGTACACAAAACTAATCCACGATTAATGTTCTTCTCTGGTCATAATGTTGAGCAGTTGATCTTTCTGAGTTCTCTTGTTTTCCAGGAAGGTCCTACATGGTAGCTTGGCCTAAGGGAGGGCCAAGGTGGGTGCTTTGGGGAGACAGCCTCTGACCTGATACTGTGTTTCTCTCCTCCTCCCGTTTCCCCTACCTTGGTTTCCCAGTGAGCTGAAGCAGAAGCTGGATGAGGAAGGCAGCAAGTGCAGCATCCTCTCGAAGCACCAGCAGTTCGTGGAGCACTGCTGCATGCGCTGCTGCTCGCCCTTCACCTTCCTTGTCAACACCAAGCGCCAGTGCGGAGATTGCAAGTTCAATGTCTGCAAGAGCTGCTGCTCCTACCAGAAGCACGAAAAAGCCTGGGTCTGCTGCGTCTGCCAGCAAGCGAGGTGAGTAGCTGGTGCATTCCCAGGGTCTATGCTGGTGATTTAGAGAGATTCACCTGCCACTTCCTTCAGTCAGGTAGGACCAGCTATCATTGGTAGATCAACACAGAGTATTGACCAAAGTAAAGAGCTTGCTGAAGAGAGATGCATGGATAAGGAAACCGGTTGATCTTTATAGGGAGGATGAGAGGGGACCCCCAGGAGCACCTGGGTGTGAATAGAAAGGGCTTTCTTGGGATTGAAGATGTAGCTCCTACATATGTTATTCATCTTTTTGGAATTTCTCATCTCGTCTCATCCTTTCGTTCATTCATTCCACAAGCATGTGTTGGATTCTTAGGAATTATGCTGGGTGCAGGAAACATGATGGTGAATTAGACCAATTGTGAGCGACTCAGAGGCATAGCGGATGCTGTGATACATAAGTGCTGAGCCTTCGTATGTGGAGATACATGCCCTGACTAATTTGTATGTTGGCTATGGGGGCACTGAGCAAGGAGAGACTGGCCCTGCGGCTTGGGGAAAGCTTCACAGAGGACAAGAAATAAAAGCAAGATTGTAAAAGATATAAAAGAGTCAATACTGTGAAAGGGGAAATGAAGACAACCTTGTGAAGGAAGTAACAAGCATGGCATTTCACATTCTCCCTCAGCGACTAGCAGAGCACTTCTTTGATCTGTTGAGTATTTGGAAACTGGTGAGTTTGATAAACCAGTGTTTGGTATTTGTCTGTGCTGATCCTAGCATCTGTAGTGTGCATTGTGATTCGTATTTGCTGCATGCTTCCAAAATGACTGTTAGTGAGTGAAGCTGAGATGAGCAGGTCCTGGGAGCACACATTCAGAAGCCCCTGACTCCCATACCTTTTCCTTCTTTCCTCCTTTCTCCTCTCCCTGCCCTGTTTACTCTCTTGTATCCTTTAATTCATCAAGACCTAGAATTTTCCCAAAGAGCTAGTTAATGGGGACAGCTGCCAAGTTTTCTTGGGGTCTCCAAGGAATCAGGCTCTGGGCTACAAAAAAAAAAAATACATACATACATACATATATATACACACACATATATATATATTACACAACACACACCATATATATATTATATATATATATATATATATATATATATATAATCATTCATTCCAGAGACACAAACTGAAACAAAAAAATGGTTCTTTGAGCACCCAGTACCCAAGGCTGGGTGCTGCGCAGGTCCTGTGTCTGACTTTGTCAGAGCAAGGAGCCCATCTGGGTCTCCACATGGCAGCTTGAAAGGAGGAGGAAAAGTCCTGCAACAACAAAGGGAAGGAGGAGACTGGGATTGTAGATGAGCATATGTCTGGGAGTAATCTACAGAGAGAGGTTCATCTATGCCTTCCATTTCTCAGTCAAGGTGGGGTAAGGTGAAGCACTGAGAACAAGAGAGTTGGATGTTGGAAGAAATAAGAGTAGATCTAAATAGGCATTACAGGAGTTGGAGATGCAGACATTCGAGTCAAGTTCCTGTAACTAATCATGAATCTGTTTTCTTTCAATCTTCCCACAGATTGGGAGTTTTTGTGAGGCTTGGGACAGGTCAGAGGGTAATGGAGTTAAGGATATTGGACAGTGAAGAATGTAAAGACAGAATCTGGATAGTAAGGAAAAACAGAAAGGGGCTTAGATGGATGGGGAGAAAATGAAGGGGTCAATCAACCAGAAGTATCTGGTAAAGTCGAAGAACTGTCACAGTGGGAGTACTTGACAAAGAAAATTGGAAAAAATGAAAATTCTATATAGAGAAAAAGATGAATTTCTAAAGTAGATCAGTTGAGTGGTGACCATGGGAAGAGGCGACAACGTCTAGAAGAAGTTAAGGGACCAAAATACCGGTGCCTATATGATTGGAAAAAACCAGGATAGTGCCACAGTATGGAAGTGAAGATTGAGCCAGGTGTCAAGTTTTTCTTAAATGAGGAGAAGGAACTAGAAGATCAGGATTCGAGAGACATAAGGAGCTGGAGAAAGTGAGATGACTGCATGTTATGATTCTGCACCTACCAAGTTGGGCAAGTCCTGTGTAGCATTTGACTCAAACATCTGCCATGGCTGCATGCACTACACTGACGTTTGTTACCAACTGGTGGTAAACACCGCCAGGACAGGAACACTGTCTTCGTCAACTCCATTTGTAGCACCAGAGCCTGGCACATAGAAAGCACATGAGTCTTTGTGACCCAAATAGAACAGGACAATGTTCAATAGCAGCCAGATGCATAGTACAAAATGAGGCTTTAGGAATTTTAGAGAAAAGGACTCAGAGAGTATTAGATGTCCTAAAGGGGTTTCGTGGAAAAGGAGGGCATCCTAGATAGAACTCAGTTGGAGAGGAGGAATCAGGAGACACTCTCAGACAAGGTGTGGCATGAGCAAACAAAACAGAGTCCCCCAAGGTGTGTGGAGGGCCTGAAGCAGAACACTATTGTAGTAGGATGATGGCAAGTGGTTGGGTCAGTTTGCGTGAAGAATTGGGGTTTGATCTTTAAGGGATGGTGAAATCATTGGAATGTCAAACCCTAGCAGTTATTAAAGTATACTATACTGTGCTTCAACATATTCCCCCACAAATAAAAGGAAGTATCAGTACCTACACGATTTCATTTCTTTCAATACATACCTATTCCTCTTCTCCCAGGGTAAGAAAAGTCACCAAATTTACTAAACGGTTAGTAGCAATAGAGTGCAGTCACAGCCTCTCGACCCCACATTCACCATGAGTTGTATGCAGGGGTCTGTTATTAGTTACAATTAAATGACACATTGCATTTATCAAATACCAGCAATGCTGAGTAGTTCCTGCACCACCTCAGAATCACATCACTTATAAATGGAAGAACCTTGCCTCGCAAAAGCAAGATCTTCTGATTCCAACCATTTGCTATTTCTCTCATACAATGTTGTCTCAAGAATTTGTCAGATATTGGAAAAATAAGTTGTAAAAAAAATCAGCAATGGCTGCCAAGACTATATTTTAAGTTTTCATTTCATATTTCTAGCAACTTAATGAGGAGGCAGCAGGCTTAGGTTGTCCCATTTCACTTAATCTTGCATCATGTTCGTGTCAACATTGCATGACAGCTCCTGAGTCTCAGAAGCTGAGCATTATAAAATAAAGAATCATTCATAGAAGGATACTTGGAAAGACATGCAACAGCCAGTGTACCCTTGTTCCTTTTTTTTTTTCTTTTTTCAAAGAAAAGGAGTATGGAGGAGTCCTCCACACCAAACGGTCCAGCTCAAACAGAACATACCCCACACTTGTTAGACCAAGCCGGCAGAGAAGGGATCGCTGAGGAGAAATTGGAAACTGTGCCGCTCTAATAATTGATCTATTCCTTGAAAGTATTGGATTACTGAAACCCAAAAGGCGAGGAAAACCTTAGGTCATTCCCTATTCTTTTCTTATCGCTGCAATTCAATACAGAACCTGTCCACAGGGAAAGGGAATCCAGAAATATGTGGCATGTTTTTTGCTTCCTGACAATTCTCTTAGACACAGTTGACAGAGACGATTCCTATTCAAAGTACCACCAGCTTGTATGCTCACTGAGCCAGACAGTCTTTACTGGTGTACCTGGATCAATTCTGTGCTCTGAAGGAGGCCTAGAGGAGTGAATTCTTCTCTTAATATACGGGGGGTGTGGGTGGCAATGCAAACGTGGTAAGTGCCTTCAACATTTACGATGCCAAGTCTAGCAGCCAAATCATCGATGCTTAAATCAGCGTATGTTGTAAGGATTACTGGTGCTTGGATAGTGTTCTGTCAGAGTGGAGCACTGCACGCTCTCTTGTCTACGTTGTCCGATAGTCTCTCTCCTCTTGCCATTCAGATCTGAAGACGTGGGCTTTGTTTGTGCTGTTTTGGTTGTTGTGGTTCGTATTGCTGGCCCTTGCTTTGCGTTAAACGGATTTTACGATTGTAGACGCTGGCATCTGTGGTTTGGCACAGGTCTGTGTTCTAGGAGACTTACTTCATCATCTCAAACAAGTGGTTGTAAAACATGTGTGTGTCAGATTCTAAAGCACACAATTTTGTGTGTGTTATAGACAATCTCAATTAAGTGAATGCAGCATCTTGTGGAGGTTACACAAACTGACCACTTCTGTGAGGCCACTTTCATACCCATACTTCAACTCTCCGCTACCCGTCGAGTACATTCGTTCCCTTATTTAAATAAAACATTTTGTCTACATGTTTAATTTCTAGCTATTAACCAGTGGCTGCCATATGCATACGTTTTTTGAGAGATACATTGGGGCGGTGAAATAATAGATAAAACAAATAGTCCCACAAAAAATTTAGTAGCAGAATAAGAGACATTCATGGCTACAATGAAAGGCTAGCTTCACAAGAATAAACTGTCATCAAATACCTGGGGCCGATCTCTTGGCAGGCTCGTAAATGACAGAGTTCGTAGTTAGAAACACGGCATCCATCATGAGAGGACCGCAGAGCAGCTGGTCATAGTGCTTCTATAGAAAGGGTAACTAGGATCTTAACTTTATCCAGGGCTCAATGAAGAAAGCAGTCTAAAGGGTCGTCATAACTTCGTTCGTCGGTGTGATTAGTTTAGGTATCCAATAAAAGCATGGTTTGTCTGCGTGGTTGAGAATGTTGATAAAGTAATATAATCTAGTTTGGTGGGTGTGGGTGCTTTGGGGTTTTTTATTAGATTTTTAAGTGTATGTTTTCAATTTAGTTTAGTCAGTATATACTTTAATTGAGGGTACCTTGCATAACGTGCAGGTTTTGTTTACATAGGTATAGGCTTTCATGTGCGTGGCTGAACCATCAACTCAGTCCTTCTACATCAGGGTTAACTCCCAATAGCATCCCTCCCCCTCCCTCCCCATGATAGGCCCAGTCGTATGTTCCCTTCCTGATCCAGTGATCAATTTTTAGCTTCCCATCTATGATGAAACATGCGGTTTTGTTTCTGTTCTTGTGAAGTATTGCTAAGATGCAGG